CATGCCACCAAACATCTAACTACTCTTACTCGGTCCTGGGCCAAGCTTCCCCTAAAGACAGGGCAAAAAGCAACCTAAAGATGGATAGTGAGAATGACGGGTATGCGCCTGATGCGGAGATGAGTGATTCAGAAACTGAGATGGCAGAGAAAAAATGCAGGCAACAAAGGCTTGCTTCCAACAGCACTATTCCCAGAAGGACAGACATTATTAGGAGAAGCATCCTTGCCTCCTGACTGGAAAGTGACATACAGTAGCAGCACTGGAATCAGTGAAGCCCAAGCCTGGACAAAAAAGCTCCACTCTTATGTTATTTGTTGGTGAGTCAAGGAAGAGGATCGTTAGACATGGCTAAAAAAATCAGTCAACAATGGACCTGTTTTCCCTGGGCTGTAGAACGATGTTTACGTGCACTTGACTGAGAGCCCCGTGCCCATCCTCGTGTTTGTGAGCCTTGAGTCATCTTTAGTTGCAATTGTCGCCAAGGAATTGTTTGAGAAAATGACATGGCTACTCCAATTTATCCAATAGGCTTAACACTAATAAAAACGATATAAAAACGAAACACTTAATGGGGGTAGATTTTGGCTTGGGGAGACCTGGTTTAGGTGGATAGCACTGAGAATTGTCCTCTTCGTCCTTGAAAAGCACAAGCAATTAGTATACAAGAGGATAATGAATTAAATATGGTGGTTATAACCATCCTGCACTGCTTAACCCATTAAAATTGTCACTTTGATCAGGCTGTTTAAGGACTAAGTCCAAGTAGTCTGCCATTTTTTCTTCTGGAATTCAAGGGGTGTGGGGTGGTAGCTGAAAACAGTGAGAAACCCCTAAAGAATTGTCATACAAAGCCCATCAAGCAGATACGACAATACTATGACTACTAGATACCTGAAGGGATAGGTTCAAGCTGTCCCTAGTAAAAAGGAAAAAAAAACAAAAACAAATCAGAAACCAGTGACCCACACACAATGCTATTTTGGATGGACCCAAATGACAAATGGATGAAAACTAAGCCCTTCAAGTTTGGAGGGCATTTGTGTCTTAAAGTATTTTTCTTCTTGTGAAACAAAGTAGGTTCTTTCAAGTGCTGTATTCTGCTGGCACCTGACCATTTGAAATATGACAACTCAAGTGGGAAAGACCAAGCACATCTGTATTGCAAATATGAGTAGGTTTTGCTGTCTTGGTGCCCTTCCTTTATTCAATTCCCCTGCCTCACTCATCAACCTAGGAGCTGTAATTCTGTGATGAGTAAGATTCCACCCCCCAACTAAAGTATTAGTACTTAACATCAAACTTGCTAATAAACCCAGGCTTCCTTGGGAGAAGTCATGACAGGTAGACGGGTTGAAATTTGCCATGATGATATGCCCACATTTCTAAAGGCACTAGCCAGTAACCTTTCCCAATGTGCACTAATGGAATGTGTTGGGATATGCAAACGTCTGACACAAGGGTTAATTTAAATACAAAAAGAAGGATGTAATAAATATATATGTATATTTTTTTGAATAAAATGGAAAGGCAATAAGATGTAAGAAGCGCTTTACATTCAAGCCAATTTAACAACATGATTTCATGCTATGGATTAGATTTGACAAAAAAGGAGCTTGTGTTCTAACCACACCTTTTGTAAAGAGAAAATCTGCAATAACTAGAGAGAGTAAGCCATCAGCAATAATGTGAACAGAAAATTAAGAGTATATTTTGCACCCAGGAGAGTGCATCTATCATACATGTGACAGCCTAAGTTTTAGGCTGCTGTAACTTTTTGGGATTCAACTTGGATATAGAAACAGACATAACCTAGTTAAAGTTTTAGCAGCAGTAGCTTTTTTTAAAAAATAGTCAGCCCTCCTATAATTCATCAGCATCCAGTCACTTACTATAGTTTTGTTGTAGTCCCTTCTCCAACAATAGGTGGATTTATATCTAGATAACTAATGTTGCAATTTGACTCGTCTTCCAGGGATTGCAGCTGAGAACTGGATTGTTGTTGTTCCATCTTGCTATGCAAATCACTGAATGATCAAGAACACAAGTATATTGGGGGAGGCTAAACAGTAATTTTTCCCCCCTAAGTTGGAAGCAGTCCTTATTCTGGGTTGGAGAAATGTAATGTGTGAACCTAAGAATTATAGATATTATTAAGAGCAATGAACATATCATTTGGGAAGTAGCCATCAAAATTCACCCCCATTTCCTTCAGAGCAGTCTTGAGAAAACAAAGCTTTGGGATTAGTGAAATCAGATGTAGTGCTCCCATCTCTCCCTTTGCTTTAGGCTTTTCTTTCAGTGTTTGTACCAGAACCAACATTTTCCAAACTAGTCATAAATCATAATTTGAAGTGGTTGATTGCGGTTTTAAGAGATTTGGCTTTAGGTTTGAGGATTCAGATGTCAAATTATGATTAGTACAGACCAGAAAACTGAAAGGAGACCCAGTTTTTATGACCTAGTATAAAGTTTATGTGTGAGGATAAAGTGAGGAAAGAAAGGAAAGAGAGTGTAGCTCAGTAGACTGTTCAGACTTCTGAACTGTAGAGAATCTGAGCTTTAAAGCACCTGTAATAGACCCTCTCCAGTAGCTGTTTATACCTTGGGGTTCTGGTGCACGCACAGACATCTGTTTAAGCAGAGGCTATTTCATGTCTTTCTTTGTGAGGGAAACTCTCACTGAATAGTCTCTCCACCATCATCTCCCAATTTATTCTCATTCTAGTCCATGCATAGTCTTTGGGTCTGGAGGATAGAATAAACAATCAGGTTGAGACTGGAGCTTCAGTTCTAAATGTGATTAATATACTGACACCACTTTAGGCTAGGAAATGATTGATATGTGAGAGGTAGTTTTATAAGGCTTTATTGCTTCTGATTAAACTACTTATATTTTTCAGGTTTGTTGGCCAGGTCTGCTGCTTTGCAAGCAGATGTGTTCTTGTTAAACATAGGAAAAGAGGGATGTGATTAATTCACTTTTCAATAAGTAGGTTTTTCAGGTGAGAGTTGGATGAAATATTGGTTAGCCTGCCCTGTAGGGAGTTGTTCATCAAGCCATAGAAAGAATAAAATATGTATGATTCTAAGAGAACATTATTCAATGTTACAACTAATTTTAAAAGAAGTACCAGATAACATTTGCACTATTAGGAATGATAGCATTTGTGCAGAAAGAATTGCCTTATCTGTTTTGCTCCCCACCATATTTAGGTTAATAAGCTTTCTGATATTTTGAATAATGCTGAACCAAAAACTTAAAAAAAGAGGAAAAATAAGTAGTGCTTTCCCCCACACCTTCTGATTGCAAAAGTAGGGAAACTTACAGTATAACTGTATGAGTTTCACACCATACTTAGAACCAGTAAATGAAGAATTATAAATAAAGTAATTGTTACCTGCTATTGCATTCATTTTGTTGATATGGAAACAGTTGGTATTTCTTGTTAAGCTTCACCTTTTCCTTATGCAGACTGCCCAAGAAATCCTTTGATTATAATTGGTGCACTACATTGAAATGGAGGCCAATAAAACACTTTTGTAATGTTGATTAGACTGCTATCTTGTTAGGTTCTGCAGAGAGGCAGAAACACACATACCCATACCAATCTATAACTGAATACATGTCTCATATGTACAAATCTTAATTTACAAAAAATTTGAAAAAAAAATCTGTCATTACATTTGTAAAACCTTGTATAGAGGATTTTTCACTATGTGCCTAGCTTTGGTGTCCATTTTGCTCAAATTTGAAAACAGGTGCATGATGAAAAAAAAATAGAATCAGAAATAAAGTATATGTAGAGATGACTATTTTATATTACATGGCCCAATCCTGTATTTATTTTCCTCCCTTTTTGAAGTATTTATAAAGACCTAGTTGAAGATTGCTGTATTTTTTGTTAAAATATTTAGTAGAATTGTGCCTTTGTCTGTATGTGAATAAATGCTGTACATTTTGCAATACACTTCAGTGTAATGGTCTGGCATCTGTGCTTTAAATTCCCCAAGATTCCATTGGAGCAGATATTCTGACTTGTCTCTCAGATCTCTGGGCTGCGCTCTAGTTCTTACATGTGCAGGCCAACCAAAGGGCCTGGCATTTCCTTCTTGATTTTCCTCCTTGAGAGGTTTTCCAGTCCAATGCTGAGGATTCCTCTTTTTCTCTGTTGCAAGCCCCTTTTCTCTCAAATGTCCTGAATCCATGGGTATCCCATCCTCTTCTCACACTTATTGCAGTGTAGTTACTCAAGGCTCCATATTTTTTCTCTTAATGCTCTTTTTTTTAGTATAATGTATTTCATCACATAATAGTTGTACCCCCCCCCCGCCGAGTCCAATTTCAATATTTTACGATCCCTCACATAATAGTCACACCCTTGATTTAGACTGCCTCCTTGCTGTAAACAGGTGCCCATCCACTCACTTGCCCATCTACTCGCTCGCTGCTTTGCTCAACTCACCCACCCATCCATCCATTTAGCCACCCCCTTCCAGGAATGGCGGGTGGATGGGTGTGTGAGTGGTTGTGTGACTGGGTGGCCAAGTGGATGGAGTTTAATAAATATTGTTTTAATACAAAAAAGGCACCTTTGGTGTAATAGTTGCACTTTCCTCACTCCTTTATAAAAAGGGGAGGGAAAGTGTGACTATTGTCTAATGAAATACAGCATTTGTTTTGTTGGGAATTTTTTACATCTCTGTTCAATTTTTCCTTCTTTGAACATCTGTGATATTCTTCAATTAAACTAAAAGTTCTTCCATAGTGTTAGTTTTAAGAGCCAGCTCTAATGGATAAACCTGCTATTTTGGCAAGAACAGAAGTGGACTTTAAAAAAAAAGGAGCGGTAACCCAAGCATCAAGACTAAACATCACTCTACAACTGATCCTGAGGCACCTACTCCTGAATTAAGCTTTGGAGGTTAAATCTCTATTTTGCTAAGCCACTGCTTTTTGATAACCGGATAGTGAGACTGAATATTTTGCAACAAACAACTTTGGAATAGCAATTGGTGTAATTGGCAACATTCATAAAGTTACAAAAATACAGGCCTGAAAAGAGTCGAGTTTCAATAGTTTCCAATGATTGTCCAAGAACAATGTAATACATTCGTACTTGGTAGTGATGTTACAAATATTTACGCATATAACATTATTCCTGTTCAGCAAAATGATTAATAGTCAGAATTTCAGCTTTAAAAAGCAACCATAATAAAGTACCATCAAATAAAGTACAGATACTTGCTAACCAAAAAAGTGTAGTAGTCTGTGTTTTAGACCAGCACTCTAGAGCAGGACTTTTTCCACTTGCGGCCCCTTTTCACCAGGGAATGTTTTATGTGACCCCAGGTATATAAAATATTTATAAAAATAAAACATTTACTGATAATAAATCTGCATTTGTAAGGATTGCAAGACGGGCTGTTTTTCCTTTTTGTGGAATACAGCTGAAGCATTTTCTCCAGAGTCCACTATACATACTGCATGATGTTGCTAACAGATTTGTTTAAATGGGTGGCATTCAAAAACATTTTTACTGTTGTCAAATTTTGCAGGATCCCAACATTAAGCTAAGGGGAACTCGCTTGGGATTGGGACCCACAGTTTAAGAAGCATTGATCTAGAAATGCCCACTCAGTCAAACTCATGGGTGACATGAGGCACGTTGTACATTCCCAGACACAGAGGAAGGCAATGGCAACGCTTCCCTGAATAAATCTTGCAAGGAAAACCCTATACTAGAATTGTTATCAGTCAGAGCTGATTTGAAAGCATATATAAATGACAAAAAGCTTCCAATTCAGCAGCTAGATACATTTCTAATTTGTAGGTAAACTGCTGTACATTTTTTCCCATTTTAAAGCCATAAAATAAAACATTGTGGTGTATGGTACATTTATTTTTACATGCAGATAAAGGGAAACCACCCTTCCATCTGGCTCTGGTTTCATTCATCATGTAGTTTTTGGCGTTGCTTGTTTAATGTTTATTGGGAGAAAGCCACAAAAATGTTTTTCTTTGCTCAAGCAACAAGAGATTTTTTTTTGTAAAAAAAAAAAGTCAATCCATGATAAGGTTTAGTGTTTCAAGTTTGCTCTTCAGTCTTAAGTATATAAACTATGGAAGAACACATATTTAAATATTTTCCAGCTCTATTGAGGAGGCAGCCTTTTTTTTCTGCATGATAACTGCACCAAGCTGTAATGAAAAACAAAACAATAATTAGTTTCTTTCTTCAAACAGGATCTTTAAAATAATTGGATTATAGTGCAAGCAGCAATAGAGATGAGATAAAGGATTATTTTATTTAATTCCTGTCATCCATTTAAGTTGTAAAATGGAAGGTTTACCATAGTCCTCACCACGATGAATACATTGAGAGAAGCTGCAATTAAAAGTTAAAAGAACTGAACCCCACTCAAGCAAAGTTATTAGGATATTAACTCCAAAACATGCTAGTTTTCAATATGTAGCTAATCCGCCACTCATTCCAACTGAGAACACTGATTCCTTTATACTTTCCTGGGTAGACCTGCTCTGATAACAAACTGGGCCTAAAGGCATCAGTATGTTCCTGAACAATTTTTAATACTGAATTTCATATTCCATCTTCTTGCCAAATGCAATTCAACACTATGGCTTTCAGTCACGACAGCAATCATGTATGAATTGATGTGTGGTGATGGTAATGGGGAAGAACTACTTATCTAGTTTCTAGATATATAGTGATAAGATATTTACTATGCCTCTCCAACCCAACAAGTGTGAGGTTAGAAGATTATGACCAAATCTGCTTAAATATGGTAACTTAAGCTGCAATATGCAAAGCTGGTTGGAATACATGTTTTGAAATGAATCTACAAAGTCCAGCTAGGCAACCGTCTTTTATTAAACTCTGTACAACATTTGTAATTTTGTATATGGATTAATTATAACAGCACTAGTAAGTACACTTTTTGCCTTGGATCACACATTTTGTTTCTTGGGGAAAAAAATAGAAGTGTGATTTTGGGTAATTATAAAAATGCTCATCTCACCCCTGTATTATGGGCATTGCCTTTAGATACCTGTTGAGATGCTGCAGCCGCCCTCTCTTCTGCCTGGCTTAATCGCCTTTGAAGTCTGTTGACTTTTTCTTGAAATTCCATCATTATTTTTTCATCCTATATAAATGAAGCAGCTCATTACAAATGTAACGATCTATTATCAATTCATACATATTGAGAATGCATGCTGTAATGAAATCACAATCTACTAGGTCAGTATATCACCAAATAACAATGTGTATCTCACCGCTGGACACCAATATAAAGGATTATATGTAATATACCACTGCTGGACAATAGTATGGAGGAATCAAGCCCCAGCTGATCTATATTATGGTAGCAATGTGTTATATACTGTATTATATGTGATGGTAGGGTGAACACTGCTTCAGTCTTCTTTTCGTTTAGTGCTGCCACCACCCAAGATGTCTTAGGATTTTTAAAATGCCGCTCTGAGGTAAAACTTTTCCATCTTCTGCCACCACTGCCCTCCCTTTAACTCCAAACAGATGATTGTCAGGGTTAGAGTTCTTTTTGAGATATCAGGATGATGAACTGACTGGAAAATTTACTCAAAGATTACTGATAGAATGAGTAACGATAGAGGCTTCTTAAAAGTCAAACAGATAAAAGATAAAACAGACAATAAAAACAGACAACTGACTTCTTTTGAGAGGCAAAAACGCTTGACTTGTTACTATAGCACAATATCTTAATGGTTGCTTAGAAAAGAGTTTCTTGACTTGGTTACAAACAGAGCTAATCTCACAGATATAGCTACTGGTTACAAAAAATCCCTCACTCTACTTCAGCGAAATAGCAATGAGATCTTGACTAACCTATCCCAGGCTGTCTTCTGTGTAATTAGCCAACTCTCCCCCAGAGTCCTTACAGCTAACTTACCAAAACTAGAGAGCAAATCCCTTGTGTTATCTTAACAAGTAATCAGGATGCTGCCTGTCCTTTCTTGTCCACTAATCAGCCCTGCCAGACATACACTCTCTCTCTCAGAAATACCCAGTCTCAAAACCCACTTCTTCGCCCTCCAATTCTCAAATCTCTTCTCTCTCTCAGAAGCTGAAATCTTTTTCCCTCCCAAGACTTGGCTCCTCCTCCTCTGCTCTAGCCAATCCCAGGAGACCTCCAACTCCTCCCATCTTCTATCTATCCACCCACCCTCAAGATGGCTGTTTTGCTGGCAGACACTCTCAAAATGGAGCTTTGCCCTACTGTCTTCCCAGGCTTCTATTCTGGCCTATTAGGTAAGAGTCATTACACATGCGTAGAGAGACAGAAAAAAATCTAAGCCAATGGCAAATCAAGGAGTTATACAATGTCAAAGGCAAACAAGTCAGGTTGATCTGCACCTGAGGAATTTCCAATCCTCAGTGAGGGAAAATTTATGCACATATATACACACACCATATTTCATTGCATGATATTTTAGGGTCCTGGTTTGGTATTTCCGTTTTTCTCGCATGATAGTCACACCCTTGATTTACCAGTGTAAGCCTCCATCTGCTTGCCCACCCACCCACGCACCCAAAGACTCACCCAAAGATCCACCGTCCCTCACATCCACACACTCATCACACTTGTGCGCACACACTCACTCGGACGCCCATCCATCCTATTATGTGATTACTGTTATGCAATGAAATATGGTATATCCACATACAATGAAATATAATTTGAAGTTAGAAACAAACAGTAATGTTAACTTTATACATAAAAGGACTTGGTACAGTTGTTCTGAAATGCTTTTAGTATTATTAGCCTTTGGTGAGTATTAAAACAGATGGGCGAGAAGCGAGTCTGTCATCATAGAAAACACTTGAAGAAAATAGTGGCATTTCTAGCTAACCCCTTTCAAGATTAAACTATGAAATTGTGTGAATGTGGATACCTATATTTTGTTTTTAATAGCAAGCAGCTATATTAATAACTTTGTAGCATTTTCCCCCAATGTGTGTGATTAGATTCAGGACAGGATTTTTTGGCTATGAACTACTTGGAAAAATTTGCCAAACCCTCGAGCAATACTTGAATCAATGGTTCATACCAAAACAGTTTTAACACTGTTTCAATATCTGCAGGATATTCAAACATAATATCTGGATGAGGTTAATTATTCTACCTCAATAATCTTTTCGTTTGCTCTTTCCAGCTGACAAAGCAAGTCCTGGGTGTGAAGTTTCTGACGACTCAGCTCACTTCTATAAAACAAAACAAAATAATCTTATTAATAAAAGTCAATGTAGCTGTTGAGGTAAATGATTACAGAGAAATTTGGGGCAGTTACATATTCCTCCTTCACATACTGCCAAGTTCTTATTTTATTACAGTTTAGACATATTCACATAGTACTTAAATGAGGCACTCATCCTGGAAGCTAACCATTGTCAGCCCTGGTTAGTATTTGGATGGGCGACCATCAAGAATGCCAGGTGCTATAGGGTCTACTTCAGAGGAAAGAACTGGCAAAACCACCTCTGAGAATTCCTTGGTGAAGAAAACCTGATGAAATTCATGCGGTCGCCTATAAATCAAATGATCTCTATATAGATGCATATTTGCCCACTGCAGAGCTGCATTTGGAAACTCACAAAGCTAAGACGTGGGAGTAGCTGCTGTGGCATCCTGTGCTTGAACAGCTTCTCAAAGAATGTTATTTTTATCACAAGACTCATTTAGAGGTTACTTGTTTCATTTTTCTCAATTACATTATACAAAGTAACTCCTTCAAAACGATGTTTGCACAATGGTTTCCAATCTCTGATAGACACATCAGTCTTCTGTGCATTGACATAACATTAGGTTTGTACTCACTCCCTTAAATTTACTAAATATGAAAAAAAATGGAATTTCATGTCTTTGCGAACAGGTTTTGCACATTGTTTAGATCTATGCTATGTTGCAAACCTTTATATTGTGTTCCATCTGAGATTCATTTCAACCAGGAACTTCACATTGTGTGAATCTGACAGTATTTATTATACTTGTATTCCACCTTTTTCCTGGAGCAGGGCCATCAGTAGTGATCATAGTTTGTGCCCTTTGATCCCAACTAATGGTCTTGTTTGCTGTACTTTACACCTGAGCTTCTATAAATCTAAAATTGGGATGATTACACTTTACTCTTTTCCTTCCTACCTGGTTTCTGAATACACCTCTCAAGATGTCCAAATAAAAGGATCTTCTGAATAAGATCTACTTTGCTAAAGTATCTCATTTTGGTAAACAACAAATCAGTGCTATTTCACACCTGAGAGACAGCCTTGTGTTGTCATTCCCATCTCTTACGCATTGAGGATTTACTCTTCAGTCAGAGCTTTTGAGTTTTGAAGAACTCAAGTAAATGATATGTGAACATGTCAAGAAAGTAAACTTACAGAATTATCTCTGGAATCCTGTGAACCTTACTAGTTCCAAAAGAGCCATGTATGTCTTTGAATAATTGACTTCAGTATTGTATGAACTGTCATTTCCAGTATTACACCATACTAGTTGAAGAAAGACCTTTTGCACTTTCCGTTGTCTTCACAGAGAGAAGTTACAGAAATAAAGGGATACTTGTATGATTGCTCCTCATTGGTATTCTTCTTTTCCCTGAGGTATATTGCTATAGGGTCAGAAACCTACCTGTGAGAACTCTTCTCCAGAGGTCTACTGTACCTCAGAAGTTATCTTTCAGGAGCAGCATGCTGGTGATAACTGATTTTGACTCATACCATCCATTCACACAACTAACACTATTCATTACTCTAATACTAAAAGAGCACATAGGGAGTGCCTTGTGTAAGAAACTAACAAAAGAATAATCTATTCAGTGCATTTTTCTCCAAATTCTTCATCACTGCTCTATGATATGCAAACTGTAGTTTCCACCAACTAGTAAAGTAACAGGCTTGAAAGGCACGAAGTAAATGGAAGAAAAGCCACAAGATGGTCAAGTAAACTAAAAAGAGATTCTGTTTCTAAGACTCTATCTTCTGATCTCAGTAGGTTTATAGTGTGCACCATAAGGCACCATGGGTCTTAAAAGCATCTAGCTATCATTGAGGATGTCCTACATTCATTTGTTAAAGTGAGAGATTGCGGAAGTCTTCATTGCAGACATATTATGTGCTTGTTGCCAAAGGAAGTGATCTGGAGGGAGAGAATACTTTGTCAGTCCTCCGTCAGCACATTCTACTTCCATGCTGGCTGTGAAAGAAGAGGCTTTTTTCAACTCTGCAGCCAGCATAGAAGCTGATGAAGGATGTATCTTCTCATGACTAGGCTGTCTGTGCAGCTCGTGCAGAATGCATCCAAAAAGGTTTTCTTAAGTACCTGCTACACAGCAGATGAACACATAAAGGAGAGGTTTTATGTTGGATCGGAGTATTTTGGAGACTAATGGTTCCCTTAACTGGTGTGCTTTAGACAACAGCATGATAATTACATGAGAGAGAAACAGAACACTCTAGGTATAGTTAAATGATATGAATAGGGGATCAAAAGGAAAAAGGTTGACTTTCTATTAAAAAAGGCCTATGACTGAGAGTTTTCTTTTTTGCAACCTCTCTGCCTCCACCATGCTGACAACCAGTAAAAAGAAATAAGAAGAGCCTTGTTAAAGGAGAGTTTAAAAGTCAACAGGGAATGCTTTTCTGAAAAATTGCATATGTAGGCCTCTCAGTATCTAACGGTTTATAGATAATTCATGATCAGTAAACAACAAACTAATAGACTTGGCCATGGTAGTTCATGCTCTGGTTACATCCCGAATAGACTATTGCAACGTGCTCTATGTGGGGTTGCCTTTGAAGACTGTTCGGAAGCTTCAAGTAGTCTAACGGACAGCAGCCAGGTTGATCACCAGAACGGCGTACAGAGAGCATATAATCCTCCTGTTGCATCAGCTCCACTGGCTACCAGTTTACTACCGAGCACAACTCAAAGTGCTGGCTTTAGCCTATAAAGCCCTAAACCACTGGTTCTCAACCGGTGGGTCCCAGCCAGTTTACCAACTGTCAGGATTTCTGGGAGTTGAAGGCCAAAACATTTGGGGACCCACAGTGTGAGAACCACTGCCCTAAATGGTTCCGGCCCAGCTTACCTGTCCGAACATATCTTCTCCTATGAACCACTTAGGAGATTAAGATTATTGGGGAAGGCGCTGATTTCAGTCCCACCACCTGCAGAGGCGCATCTGGTGGGGACAAGGGAGAGAGCCTTCTCAGAGGTGGCTTTTAAGACCCATAGTGCCAAAAATAACTATGAAATATGTGCAATGATTTTTGGAATGGCCCGGGATTACGGCTGTGGATGGCATGATTTTAATAGTGATTATAATGTTGATAAGTTTTAATGTACATTTTAAATATTTAAATTTTAACTTAACTGTATTTAATTGTTTCTTCTCTAAAGGCATCAAATATTTGCCATTTGTAAAGCCACCTTGAGTCCCCTTCGGGGTACAGAAAGGCAGGATATAAATAGAGGAAATAATAATAATAATAATAATAATAAGAAGAAGAAGAACTTTTTGGATTTTGACAATAGTTGAAAAACACCAGATGAGTGGGATCTCTATGATGTTAACACATTAACATCAAGTAAAACTTAACTTCAAATCAATCCTAAAACACTTGGATTGCCTCTGTGATTCTGATGGGACTACCCCCTGGAGACCTCCTATTGCTTACAAAAACTATTTAAGCCAAAATTCATCACCCACTGGAGGGTAGGCAATAAAGTGGCATAGATCACCTTTCTATACAGGCAGGGGTTCACGCATTCTAAAACAGATCTTCTGCTTAACCCCCACCCCACCCCCACACACACAGTTGCTTGTAAATACTGGTTTGTTTAATGTTGTGATTTTGTATTTTCACACAGCTACATAGAGAATGAAGACTTCAACACCTGAAATACTATTATATTTTGTGGTTAGTGAGCGATATATGTTCCAGCGAAACATCAGTAGTTACTGAGATCAAACACAATCCAAGTGATATTGCTAATAACACAGGGCATATGTCTCCAAAAATGTAATTAAGGCTAAAACCTTGAGCACATTAATGAAGGAGCGAAGTTCCACTAAACACATTGGGAAATCCTTCTGAATATACATAAGATTTCTAAACGGCAAAATAAAAATAAAACAGTGACTAGTAGAGTAATCAGTTCTAAAATGTTCTCCAAATTAAAATAGTAAAGGAAATGTTATAGAAAATGTTCAAATGTCTATTATCAAATGCTACAAATAGAAAACAAAAGGTGAGCTGTGTTAACAGCAAAGCAGAAAAGATAATAAATCTGCCAGCTGTGGAAAGTGTTTAATGCAAAATTCTCATGTGACACATACAGCACATTCCAGATGTTTTTCTGTTGAGTTATGCCATAATATGCTTCAGTTATTCTTAGTAATTATATATTTTGTAGACTGCCAGTACCTGCAGCTGTTCCTCATCCTGTTAATGTTTTTAATCAATATCTTAAAATAAACAGTTACCATGGCCAAGTATTACAGAATGTCAGCCAAAAATAATGAGGTAGGAATGAAAGGAGGACTCAGAGGCCCCCAAATGTGATGTAATTTATTTAATAGACTAGATGGTATGTCAAAGAACATTATTACAGCTAATACCCAATGGACAGTTCTACCATTCCACAAGGATCAGGATGGGATATCCCAAGAGATTTGTACAAGCAAATTATTAGAGATACAAGGGCATAACTATGATTGAAAAACAAGACTGATGCAGCCTAAGGCGGACGTTTTCCAAATAGTGTTTAGGGGAACCAAACAGCTATCAAGGGAACTTGTATCAGAAATTCATGTACAAGATGCTGGAAAAGCCTGTGTACCACATCTGGCAAGATACAAGGAGCAGCAGCCAGAGGAAATTGCAGACACTCCAGTGCACAAAGGAGCTGATGTTTTTGCTTTGAACTGTTCAGCTGTGACTAGTGACAACCCAGTAGTCCAACTAAATTCAACAGGGATTACACCAGTTTATTGTACTCTAAACATGTTACAACAATTTGGTTTTGAAGACATTTCTGAGTGTCTGCATTTAGGATTGTTCATTTGTATTAACATTATCTCTCAATGCAGCAAGTTAATGAATTCTAAACTCATCAAGGACTTCACAAGATTATTTGTTACCACAGGAATAAACAATATGGATGTGCACAGATCTATTTTTCAAAACGAGCTCTGGATGTT